AAGAGCCAGAAAGCTGGAGAAGCTATCTGGGCCCACTTATTGCTGTCAAGTCAGACCTAATTCCAGTGCATTTTTGAGAGGCTATAAATCACACAGGAGGAAACTGCCTCCTTTCTCTCACAGATGAGCTGGTGGATTTAAACTGCTAGAGTTGCAACTTAAATCTTAGAAGCAACTATGGTGAAGCTTCGTCTCACATACTTTGGGCAAATTGTCATGAGGGACCAGTCCTTGAACAACGACATCTTTCTGGGAAAGGTAGGTGGTCAGAGAAAGAGAAGAACAAAATAACTATGAGATATCATCTCACCCCAGTAAGAATGGCAAAATTCAACAGAGCAGCAAACAGCAATTGCTGGTGACGTTGTGAAGAAACTGGAACCCTTTATTCACTACTGGTGGGAGTATAAAATGGTGCAACAACTATGGAAGGCATTATGGCACTTTCTCAAAAAGTTGGAATAGAAATACCACTTGACCCAGCAATTCCACTACCGGGAATATACCCTAAATAAATCAGAACTGCCACCCAAGCAGATTATGTACACCCATGTTTATTGCTGTGTTGTTCACAAGAGCAAAGAGATTGGAAACAACACAAGTGCTCATCAACAAGTGAATGGATAGAGAAGCTGTGGTATATTCACACAATGGAATACTATGCTGCCTTGAAAAACAAGGAATTCATGAAATATTATACAAAATGGGTGATCCTAGAGGAAATTATGCTGAGTGGAATATCTCAGTCACAAAAGGACAAATACCGCATAGTGCCATTGTTATAAAACAGGACTGGCATTGAGGCTGAGGGGAACTAAGAAAAGAGGAGATAAACAATGTATGCAACATTGAAACTGATGAGAGAGAGAAAAAGGCTTAAAAGGAATATATGACTAGGTATTATTTTTATGACAATAGTCCAGAATAAGAGCTTCATAATAAAGTGGACTGGGGTAGGAACTGTACAACAATGAAAGAATTTTTTTTCCCCAAAGAGAAAAGTGAACAGGGGGGAGGGAATGGGCAACCATGACTGGAAATCCAAGTTCTCTATAAACTTTCATTAAAATCTCAATAATAAAAAAAATTAAAAGAAAAAAAAAAGAAAGAGAGGAAGAACCTCAACAAGATGGACTGACATAGTGACTTTAACAATGGGCTCGAGTGTATCAGAGATGGCGCTGATGGATCAGGACAGACAGGGCAAGACTCAGATGTGTTGTTCACAGAGTTGCTATGCACTGTTAGGAACGTTGTGGCATTTAACAACAAGGAAAATAAAGTTTCACACATACACATAAGAAAAAAAAAAATTAACCCAAACTGTCCATTTGCTACAAATTAGAGGTAACTTGTGGTTGCTGTGATGCTAAACACTGTGACACTGAGTGTCAAATGCAATAATGTTTACCCATGGCGGACAGTGTCTGGTGGAGCTCCCTGATTAAAACAGGCTTGGAAGCAGGAATGGCATCTACTTCTGAAATAGCTTGTCTCCAGAAACTCTATGAACTCGGACAAATGATGAAAGTTATAGAAGTGCTCAGGTCTTTCGGTCATAGGGTTGCTATGAGTCATTTACGACTCGACGGCACGTAACAACAACAATATGTATACATAAAGCAGTCACAGTTATTTGGATTTGAGATGCTGGGCTTAGCATAGAGCCTAACACTCATTTGAGGTTTTGCACTTAACAACAATAGATTATTTTGCAATGCAAATATTTAATAAAGAAAGGGTACAAGAAGAAGAAGTAGTATAAGGAAAACCAATGTTGTGTAACAGTAGGGGAGGGAGAGAGAATCACAAGTAAACTTTTTATAAGAAAAAAAGAGAATTACCAGATCTGGGAGGAAAAAGGCAAACACCCAACCAGACGAAGATAATGAAGCACGCCCGAAAGACGTGCCAACCAAAGAGCTGAAGGCTCTAACTGAGAATTTCTAAACAGCCTGGACGACACAAAGAAAACAGCACAACACATAGAAGAACACAGCTAATAATTACAGGAATTTAGGAATGAGTGACAGGAGACAGGAAAGAATTCAACAGAAAATGGCAGAAAACAGACATCAGACAAGCAAGATCCAACATAAGATCAAAGGAGGCCCCACAGAAGACAAAAGCAATGAAACAAAATACCTAAACTTTAACAGCAGTATTAATAAAAATAAAAATCTTCCTAAAATAACAAAGTATATGAAGCTACACACCGACAGAACATCTAGTGTATGCAGGAATATATTCAGGACATTCACAAAATCAATTGACTCTAAAGTTAAAAAAATAAAAAAGCTGTTGAGCATCCAAACAAACAAATCTAGTGTCTAATAAGGAAAACTCAGACTATTCATAGTCAGATTTTAACAACAATCCTTTGTCAGAAAAACAATGGAGAAAGAGATTCTCCTTTCTTATAAATATTAGTCATGAACTAGACACTTTATATCCAGCCAAAGTGGCCTTAAGTACAAAGGTCTACTATTAAAAACTTGCAAAAACTCAAGACAAACCCTTCATACAACCAGAATGACCGAGGTGGTGCTGGAAGAACTGGTGGAGCATCAATGCTGCTAATGAGAAACAATTGGGCGTGTTTTGGTGGTGCATTACTCAGTTGGAACTGACCCAGCTGACCCTCCAGCAGGTTTGCAGAGGCGGTTAACAGCATAGGAGGAGACTGCCCTTCTATCTTCTGTGGAGCAGCTGGTGGGTTTGAACCATGTACCTCTGCATTGGCTGCGCAATTCCCTACCACTAAGTCACTGGAGCTCCCATGTGTAGTAAGGTCCCAACCAAGATATGAACTTAGATCACTGGATTCAAAATCCAGAGTGCTAACCATTACATCACGGGGCCTGCTCATGCTCAGTGTAGGTTTGCAAAAATAAACACAAATCTGAATCTGATAAGAGCTCTAGATCCATTGCCATTTCCCAGAATGTAAAGAGGAGAGAGGATCGATCATGTCAAATGACACCAGAGGAATGCAATCAGCATATGGCAAATGCCATGGGATAAAGGGCCTGACCAAGCAAATTGCAAAGTGCAAGGAAAATAGAAGGGAACAAATAAACAAAAACTCCAAAGGTTTACCAAGTGACCACAATACTGGCCCGATCTGGATTGCAATTCAAACAAAACCAGTCAAGATAATCTAAAATTTGAACACTGACTAGATAATGACACTAAAGAATTACGGCTAACTTTTTTTTTTTAAATTATTTTATTATTTTGTGTGTGTGTGTGTACTGTCAAATCAGATCTGATTGGTACAGGAGGAGATTGTTCCTCCTTCTCCAACAGAACACCTGGTGGATTTGAACCGTCAACCTCTGGGATTGCAGTACACCTTCTTGCCACCAGAGCTCGCCTAATTTTTTTATTTTTTAAGATATGAAAATGGTACCATGATGATTCTTCTTTTTTAGAGATACACAATGGAATATTTACAAATAAAATGTTTTAATACCTGGGTTTTGTGTGGAAATAAAGAACAGAACAGAGTAAGCAAATAGAAATAAAGTTAAATGAGACTGATGGTTGTTAACAGTTAAGGTTGAGTGAAGAATATAGGAGAGTTATCCATCATATGTTGTTGTTGTTGTTGATTGCTGTCGAGTCGAGGTCAACTCATAGCAACTCTAGGAACAAAAGACCTAATGCCTTTCCATATCCATCATACAGTACTTTTTATATCATTTGTTCTTTAATTTACTTTACTTGAATATTGGATTATATTAATCTAATAGTATAATTCTTTATATTAACTTACTTATTCTTTATACAATCTATTTTTGTATGTATTTGAAATTTTACAGAGGGAAAAAAAGGTGTTTTTCATGGTGATGTTTTTGTTTTAAATATAATCACAAAAATTATAAGAAATCAAATATAAACTGGTTACAGTAGAATCATACCTAATATGTCCACCTACACTGTAAAGTGGAAGGAGGAGTGGCATCCACTTCCATAATAGCTTGCCCCCGGAAACCCTATGAACCTGGAGAGAGGATGAAAGGCACCCAAGCGTCGAGGACTCTCCTTCATAGGGTCGCTGTGAGTCGCCTGAGACTGGACGGCACTTAACAACAACAACAACACTGTAAAAGTGTTTTCTCTGAACTGTACTTTTTCTTTTTTGTTTCATGAAAAAAGAGTTCCTTCATAAAAATAAAAACTGCATTAGGAAGAGAATGAAAGCTGTTAATAGGTCACTCTTTCTACTCACCCAGTTTTTCTTTATTATTTATGCTGCTACATTTTTATCTATCTTGTAACTGTTCAGACAATGTTACTGCCAGCAACCACAGGGACAGACAGTAGGATGTCAGCACTTGGCCTCTGATACCACAAAGAAAAGAAACTTTTTTAAAGCTAGCCCTTTATTGCTCTACCTCGGAATCTACTCCTGACGTAGTGAGGAAGCTTTCTTGATCTACAGCACATCCATTTGTGGCCTCATTTTCTCCAGCACAGCAATTTCTGACATTTTTCTTGTTTTCTATCACAAAAGCTTTGCAAAGACAGGACATCAGCAGGAGGAATATAGTATGCTTTCCTGTTCAAAGTGTGAACCACCTCAGCTCAGTGGTCTGTGTATTGGAAGACTGACTGCTGGTTCCTTGACAATGTTTTAAATCCCCTAGCGCCTCAATTTCTTAAGTACCCACAGTTTAGGAGTCATGGCCTTCAATAACCATTAAATAAGTAGAAATGTCTCAACTCCCATTTTTAAGCTAATATGCTCATTTCCAGAAATTATAACAGTATTTTAAATATTTTGTTTAAAATACACACATGCCAAGAGAACTTAGCCTTTCAGGGGAAAGGCATTAAAAGAGTTTTCATTCGCTGTTCTACTACCCAGAGACACACAAATCACAAGGCCACAAACACACATGGAATGTAAAATGGCTAATGTCCTTGAAGGCTGCAGTATCTAGTTAATCACCTATTTAAAAACAGCATAATTAGCAAGTTTTCCACTTTCTCACCTGATTCAGCTTCCAGTGGAATTCTGCAGGCTTGTACTTCTTCTCCTCTGAAGGATCCTGGCGGAGGAGGAAAATGAGCCTGCAGCCGTGCACGTACAGGGAGTAATGGTGCCGGTTCATGTCTGCAAAGACAGAGCCTGCTGGTGAGTGGCCAACTCAAGAAACAAAGAGGGAATAGAAGCCATCTCTTTAAAGGGTTCTGAAGACATGAATTTATCTGCATACATCAACTCTCCAGTTGGACCAAGGAAATATTTAGAAGCAAATACACATGGCTTTTGCTGAGAAGCTGGGCCCAAGATCACTGCTGAGAATCCATTTAGTAAAACAAGCAAATCCCGTGCAACAATGTGCATCTCTGGCCAGTGCGGTAAAGTCTGACTTCATTCAAAGCAAAATGCATTTACCTGTTTTGTCTGAACCACAAAGGATGGCCTCTTTCTTCCGGCCGAAAGGCCCATGCCGCATCCACACGGACACCATAAAAGGCTCTTTGGGGTTGACTGAAACGACACCGTCTGGGATCCTCACTGCTTGAGTGCCATTGAACTCGAAGACCTGGTCGCTGTCGTGGCCGTTGTCTGTGGGGAGGCCGGCGGTCCAGTTCAGGGAGCTGCTCGGGGAGGGCAGCAGCTCGGCAGTGCCAGGAGCAGCACCTGGGACAGAGCACCACAAGCAGTGAATGGCATGAACAGCTGGTCTTAAAGAGTTCCTGGCTACTCTCAGACTGCGTCCTTATCCCGTACAATGAGCTAGTTTCAGTGTGTTGTTGTTAGGCAACATCAAGCTAGAACTGACTCACGGCTGACTTTGCAGTGGGTTTTCAGAGGCTGAAAATTGCATGGGTGGAGACTGCCCATCATTCTCTCATGAAGCAGGTGGTGGGTTTGAACCCCATCCCTTTGGGTTGACAGCTCAGCTCCTTACCACTAGGCCATCAGAGTTCTTACTACAGTATACTATTCCTTAAAAACAGAGTGTTCACTGGAAAGAAAACATAATTAATCTCTACGGAGAATTTTTCAAAGGGGGGGATCACCAAACTAACATGTTGTTATGTGTCATAGAGCTGACCATGACTCAAAGGGACACTATGCACAACAGCTCTGTCTTGAGCCAATCTGTCTCCGACACATCTACCCTCATTACCCCAGTTACTGTGACAATCCATCTCATCGGGGTCTTCCTCTCCTGCACTGTTGCTTTCACCCTTTCAAGCATGATATCCTTCTTTAAGGACTGGTCCCTCCTGGCTACATGTCCAGAGTAGGTGAGATGGAGCCTCAGAACCCACTATTAAACAAATAGCCAGAAATAACTTCTAGTCTTTTTTCTATGAACACAAGTCAAACTGGAATCACAATCAACAGAATATAAACATATTCCCAAATGTCTTCTATAACAAAAAAACCAAACCAATTACCCTCGAGTCAATTTTGACTGAACTGTCTGAAAAGGTCTCTCCTGACTACACCAAAGACTGGCCATCTCAGGGTCACAGGGTCTCCTTACCACAGAGCCGGTGAAGGGACTTCTCGGAGTAGGTGTCGCGGTCACAGCCTTTTCCTATGTGGCTGGTCTCAAGCTCCACCGTGGCCTGGACGGAGGCGACAGGTTCGTCACATGTCTCCAGGCGGATGCTGGGGAAGAGGGCCAAAGCGCCGGTGCCAGGTTCATATTCGATCCTGTTGTTCCAGCCTGTATTGTCCACAAATTGGGTAGAGGAAACAAGGAAAGCTCACATTTTTGGTTTCCACAACACATAAATGTTAAGAACACGTACGACAAGAGCAAAGAGGCTGTAGCTCACCCTGCCACCCAGGGGAACAGGTGGGCTTGATGCTGATCTTGACCAAAGCGTCTTCCGTGGCCCTCTTTTTCCCACAATCATAGGCAGTGACTGTCAGCTTGTACTGGTGTTCCTTCCCATAGTTCAACTTCTCTGTGTTTTTAATATAACCTGACATGGGAAAGAAACAGTGAGGAAATATTTTCATTTCATTCCCTCATGATGAAACATAAAATGCAAGTGCTATTAAGTCTCAAGTACTGAGAGTCACAGAAATAAACGTATGTTTGAGATAATCAGCACTCAACCTGGTTTACATGTGCTTTTAATGCTCTATCTCTCTATTCCTTAAGGTTGTTTAACATACTTCTGCCATGAGACCAGAAGAAATGGATGGTGCCTGACCACCATTTACATAACAATTTGATCAAAGAGTATTACAGAAAAATTCTGATAAAAAGGGAAAAACATAGAACAGAATTTCAAGTTTTCATAGAACCCAGTGTTCTTAGAAACAAAAAAAGTTGACACTACTGTCCTGAGATAATTTTTAAACCTTAAACAAGAAATATCCCCCCAAAATGTCCTGAAAACTAAATAATTTTCAACTCAACAAAGTTCCATTTTAGTGATAAAAAAAGTTATAAAAAAAACCTCACAAAACAACAAAGTTCAGCTCAACTAATAAAAACCTGTCTGCCTTGAGTAGTGTGTTCTTTAAAGGATTATCAAACCGATATAGCACCTCAAAAGACGAGATAGGAAATTAAGCTTAGAGGGCAGTGAAACTGTGTCAGTGGAGGCTGGGGGGAGTAGAGCTACTCAGTAAAAGAAGAGTGGGAATGGCTCTACAACTGGACAAACACAGTCAATGTCACTGAATGATTACGCAGAAACTAACAACTTGCTGTATGTTTTACTATGTGTATATTCTCAATAACAACAAAATAATTATTTAGTATTAAATACAAAATCAAACTACACTAACTACTCCTGTGAAAAGATTTATTTGGCTAAAGGAAAAGACAAATTTCCTACCCCATCCACTAAGGATTTCTTTTAAAAAATGTAGGTGGTGTTCACAATTCCAGTGAAGACCCTGGAGTTTGCAATGGAGACCTGAAAGGATCATTAAGAAGCTGTAACCCTATGAAGAAGCTAAGCTCTCTAAAGCATGATCCTATAAAATTATGAAGGGTGAGTACGGGCTGCAGGGGTGGTAAGGTACAAACCCTCACCTGCAAGATGAGACAGAAAAACTAAACCTAACAGAATATGCCCATTGCCGTCGAGCTGGAACCAACTCGTGGCTGATGCTCCAGTATGTTTGTGAGACTGTTAAGTGACAGGAGAGAAGTCCATCCACGTCCTCCCACAGAGCCAAGGGTGGATTCCACCCTCCAGAGAGGGGAGGCCTACGGGCTAACAATGCCACATGCTACAGACTGCACCAAAGTGCCCTCTACTGGAGAATGTTCTTGTTGACGCTGTGTACCACTGAGCCAGAAGTAACATATAGCTGACCCTCCTGACGTTTTCAGAGACAATAAATCACATGGCGGGAAACTGCTCATCTTTCTCCCATGCTAATGGAGAAGACAAGGAGAAGAACCCCTAAAGGTCAATCTTTGGGTGCTCACAAAGTGTCCCACATGCAAGCCGGGCTAGGGGCTGAAAGGCTTGGAAGGGACTACAGCTTTCTCACTGAGCAAAGGGTGCTCCTCTGCTCTTACCATCTTTATCAATAGTAAATGGCACATCTGGGGTGACGACTTCATAGCTGCAAATCTGGCTGAACTGTGGGGAGCAGTCGGCATCCACGGCCTCCACTCTCAGGATACTGTCATACTGCTTCCCCTCGATGACCGTCGCTTTGTAGGACTTCTCCTTGAACACCGGTGCATACTCGTTCACGTCGTTCACCTGAATGTGGACAGTTGCTCTGGGAGAAGAGAGGAGGAATAAAAAGCTACTTTTTCTCCATTCACAGGACACCAATTCTGCCCCATTTTAAAACCTCTTTCTTTGGATGATTTGTTACATAAAGCCACTGAGATGAAAGTGAAAAACTGTTCATTTTTTTTAAAATTCAGAGTGAAAACAGCAGAAAGCTAAAATAGATACTTGGCTGATTCTTTCAGGTTCTAAGAATGAGCCAACTGGTAAAAAACCAAAACAAAACAAAAAAGTAAAACCACCATAAAAACATCCCACTTATATAAAAGAGAGCAGGACTGTCTTTAACAATATATGGGACATTGTATCAGAATGTGCAGAAGGAAAAGAAATTATATAAGATACATCTTCTCTCTAATAATAAAGTTTAAAATGGATATTTTGGTGCAAAATAACAGAAAGGAAGAATGGCTAAGGAAAAGTGAAAGCACGGGAAGGACGGGGAGAGACCATTAGACCCACTAATTGATTCAATAAAGAAAGATTTTTGGGGAAGCCAAGCCCTGCTTCCACCTGGGCTCTCCTTGGGGTGCAAGTTCACTTCTTGCACTGACTCTTCACTCTAAATCCTAAGCCCACCATTCAGTCAATTCCAACTCAGAGAGGCTCTAGGAGACAGAGCAGAACTGCCCTATCAGGTTTCCAAAGCTGGAAATTTTTTTTAAAGGAGGGGGGTAAGTGTGTGTGTGTGTGTGTGTGTGTGTGTGTGTGTGTGTGTGTGTACACGTGTGTGTACATGTATCGTCGAATTAGATCCGACTGGCATAGGAGACTACCCCTCCTCCAGCAGAGCATCTAGTGGACTCGAACCTTGTGCTTTAGGGATTGCAGTGCAACTTCTTGCCAGTAGGCCACCAGAGTCCTTCAGCTGTAAATCTTAGACAAGAGCCCACTGCTTCATTTTTCTCCCTCTGGCGAAGCAGGCTCAAACCACCAATCTTTTGTTTAACAGCCCAGTGCTTACTCATTGCACCACTAGGGCTCCTGACTCTTTAGATAAGTTGTCATTCATATGACACAGACTTTCTCACTACCAAAAGGACTAAAGATCTCCTCTTGACTTTTTGTTTTAGACACAGTAATCACAGATATAGTAATAAGGGGCTAGGAACTGGGTAAGAGAACTGGTTTATACTACGGACTTGTGTTCTTGACTCTTTGACAATGATGACACACTGAAATAGTCACATAGGAACATTTTTATCCCTCATCAGAAGTGATGACAAATAAAGCATGTAATAGGTTTCAAGGGATGCTAGTCTAAGATTGTTCTGGAATCAGGAAAGGTCTCTGATGAAAAGTATATACTTCTCAGAGAAACTAATAATATCTTGCTGTAGGAAAAGATGAGAGGTGATTCACTGGCACACACCAGCTGTACTTCCACCACCAGCCACTGGGTTTACCTTGCAACAGAGACTACATGGCATCACGTCACCCACAAAGCCCTTTCTTTAGTTGATGCAGAAACCTAGATTCGGCAAAAGACACTGATTGCCTAATGTCAAAGGCCTTGTACATGGTGGAGAATAAACTAGAATCTTAAATCCACTGTTCTGTCCAGCATCCTGTAGTCTCCTCACCTGACAGACGCAGCCTATGAGCACACCCAGGGCAGAGTACAAAGGTCAGTCCACCCCAGCATCACTAGCCTTAGAGCTTACAGTCAATGAGGTATGTTTGTGTATAGCAACCTTATGAACAACTGAGAGTGGCCCTGCCTGAGCCTGTGCCACCCTCACAATCTCCAGCACGCTCAGGCCCACTGTTGCACACTTGATTCTGTTGACAGTCTTCCACTCTTTCACTGACCCTCTACTTTTCCAAATATAATGTTGGGATTTTCTTCAATGTCCTTTTGACAACATGCCAAAGTATGTCCTTTTCAAGAAACATATGCAGCAACAAAGTATCACCCTTGGGCTTTTTGAATTTTCAGTGGAAGGTTGTAGTTTCTTTAATAGACTACTGAGTGGGATACAATTATTCATTCATTATAAACAACATCGAAGTTGAGCTAATCAACAGGAATAAACTAAACAGACCAGGGCCTGTCCTCAAAGTGCATGCAACCCAATTGTGGGCAACTGAGAACCATCTTCTGCTGGAAAGTTACTTCCACTCCTTGTCTGGCTTACTTACTTATGGGACTTCTTGGCGTTGATACCCTCGGGCCCCTTGCCACAGTCGTAGGCCTGGATGGTGAACGTGTAGTCTTTCTGGAGCTCACAGTCCAGCTTCTCCTTGGAGCGGATCAGGCCCTCCCCAGTGGATTTATCCACTACCACTGCGTCAAAGGGGACATTCTGCCCGTGAATTTTAAATCCACAAATCTCACCTGGGGAGTCAAAGCAGAAGAGGTTGGAATTTCTGCCACACAGGCCCCTCTACACATCCTCCCCCTGCACCCCCAGAGAAAACAAATGACAACAATTCGGCAGCCAGGGGTTTTGGAGGGCTGTGGACAAAGCGGGGGGGCACTGTGCTTTCACATGGGTAAGTTCTGGGGACTTTAGTAAAAAGAAGCAAGTTCTGACTTTTCAAGCAACTCGCTTACTTTGCATCCATTCATGCAGGAGTACAAAAGAGAGAAAGAGAAAAATATAGACAGGCATTTCACAGGAGTACTTAGGATGGCTCTAGGGTCAGAGTGGATCTCATTCGCAAACAGCCAAGGCCTGGTTAACACCCAGAGACTGCCCACTGACAGGGCCCAGCTGGGCAGCGGTTTTGGTTTGGACCAGAGTGGAGGCTAACACACACAGTTAAGTGTCCAGAGAGGAGAAGCGTGAGATACAGGGTCAGCATCGTAATTACGTAAATTCCGTCCAAAAAAAGAAAGAAGAAACAAAATCAGAAGCAGCAAGTCTTCCTGTGCAATGAGCCTGGCTAAAATTAGGGAATCAAAACAAATTACTAAATGAGAACGGTAGAAATACCAACTCGTCAGGCATCCATTTCAACAGCTAGCAGCTAGTGTTAAGACATAGTTTCTACTGTGGGGTGGAGTGGGCGGGCTAGACAATCCTCGACTTCAGACTGTCCTATCAGAGCTGAAAAGGAAACTGTCTCTGAACCTAACTACGTCCACGTGCGCTCACAAGCATCGTCAGGAGTTAAAAATCTATTTTCCATTCTTGCCCATGGGGCAGCAAGTATCAATGTTTGGATGCATATCAAACTTCACAAAATGTATTTCAAACAGAAATAGGACCAAACACCTCCAAAATGCCTAACCAACAGGAAATTGCTGCGAAGCAAAAATTCTCTTAAAGTGTAAATTCTTTCTTTTTGGAATGCACAGTACTATCCATATAGTTCAAATGGATGTCTGATTTCCAGATATTTCTAACCAAGGGTTTGGTTACATACAATTTCCATCAATAGATTTAAAAATAGAAACAAACAGGAGAAAAAATGGGGACAAGAGAGCATGGCAGTATCTTCTGTTGAAGGGTTGATTCCCAATTTTATAAATAAAGTTAGTGGGTTAATATTCATAAGAGGGATAGAAAGAACCCTTTATCACCTTCTCTGGTGACTGTCACCTCAAAACTCTCTAAAGGGAGAAAAGATAAACCCATGTCAGTAACACAGGAAAGAACGAAGGTGGCGCATCAAGGTACAAAAGTCAAAGGTGCACATGTTACATGGAAAAGACTGATGGACAATTTAACAAAAAACTCAGTAAAATAACCAGCTACTCGGGTTTCTATAGAGAAAATGCATCCCCAGCAATGAAATGCCACTTTGAACCCAACTTACCATGAACTACTGCAGAGTTTTGAAATTATAGTAACTTGAGGATGAAACACTGCTGTAATATTTCATGACACTCTCAGGCGAGGGAATTATTTTTTTAAAAAAATAAACACTGATTATAGTAGTTAATAAATATTTGTATTTTACAGTTTGGAAAGCTTCACCTTCATACTAAATTCCCTGAGATTTTAGAACATTCTGGTAACATTCATTTATCTATCATCTAGTTTAGGGAAGAAAAAAAAAACCCTAAAAATTTGGAGCTAAACGGTCTTAACTCTTTGCGTTGAAATAAATACATAGCAATGTCTTTCTAACCTGATGTACTCAATCATGCCAACAATATTAACCCCTCCTCTAATGGAGTATCTAGTAAAATGTGAACCATACTAAATGCTACTATCAGTGTTACTGTGCTCATGACTTTATTAGATGAAAACACACTTCTAATCAGAGTAGGCCCTGCATGCCACAACCCACGCTGCTCTACAGGACAGAACAAGAAAGAGTCCAGTGGACCCTCCCTAGACATGCCTGTCCCCTGTGGCTGCACCCTTCTCTCACCAGTAAAGAAAACACACTCTGAAGTTTCCTTACTTAATCGTTTTACCTAATAGCTGTATAATCCTGTTGCTTCATTTCGCTCTGTGTTAAAATTTAAACAGTATCATATTTATGCAATTTTACGCCAAGCTTTTTCACTCACTCTTATGTATCAGATTCATACACTCTTGCTGATAAACAGTTTATTAATTTCACTACCACACAGCTATGAGAATCTAGTATGTCAACACACATAGCATGCTTAAAATGCTGGTATAAAGAGCCCTCACCAAATAGACTAACATCTGCTAGAAAATGCCAGAATACTACTGTTTGCTATTAAGCATAATGTTCCAATGGCTACTCTGGTCCACACCTGATGTAGATGCACAGATGTTTCTCACAGCTGAGCTGCCCAACATAATTGTCACTAGCACGCTCAAGTCCATCAGAGATGGTGAGGATGGTACAGCACAGGGCAAGGCTCAGCTGCTCATACGGTGACTCTGAGCAGTAGCTGACTTGACAGCACCTAACAACAACAACTCTCTGGTGGCCTAGTGCCTAAGGAGCTGTATGGCCAACCCAATGGCAAGTGGTTCTAATCCACCAACTGCTCCACCGGAGAAAAATGCACAATCTTCTGTGCAATTTACAGCCTCTGAAAACCTGCTGGAAGATCAGCTAGAAATTAGTTGGTTCCAACTTGACAGCACATAACAATATCGACCTAGGAATTAGAAAAGCAGTTAAGCCACCAATTGAAAGGTTAGTGGTTTGAGCCTATGCCTGTGGCTCCACAGGATAAAGACCTGGCAATCTGTTCCCACAAAGATTATAGTCTAAGAAAACCCTGTCACATCGGGTCACAGTGAGGCAAAATCAACTCGACAGCAACTAACAACAACAATTACAGGCAGTGGTTTAAGTGTAAATTCACAAAGTCAATATTAAAAATTCAGTTCCATCACAAGAACATGGAAACAGCCCAGATGTCTAACCACAAGTGAATGGATTGAAAAATTATGGTACATTCACAGAATGGAATACTACGCAACATGCAGGAGCCATGATTTTGTAAATTATTACCTATCTTGGGAGGGACTGGAGAACATTATGCTGAGTGAACTAACTCTGTCCCATAAGGACAAATATTATTTAAAAAAATCATTATTGTAGATCTAGTATGAGGATCCAATGAAGGGGAAGGGTGAAAAGCAGAGGGGTGAGGATGGGGGGAGGTTAATCATAAGGTCGCACAATTTGATGGAGTTGAGTGAAAGAAATGGGAAAGATCTGGTGTGAAAAACAAAGTACTCAAACTCTGTAAATAAATCAGCATAAAATAATTTTTTTAAAAAAAAAAAAGAAGGAAAAGAAAATGAGGATCCTCGGTCACAGTAGCCATATGCAAAACCTTTCCATCATCACAGCCAGTTCTACTGGGCAGCACCTCTCCAGGGCAGTGGTGAGCAAACTGTGGCCCTCTGGCCGGAGCTTACCTGTATAGCTCATGATCTAAGAACAGAGGTACAATGGTTAAGTGCTGGGCTGCTGACCCAAGATTATAGCCAAAAAACTCTTCTGGGACAGTCCCACTTGGTCACATGGGATAACTATGAGGTTAAATGGGCTTGAGCATCCAACAACATGTACTAAGATGGCTTTTCTTTAAAAAAAAACAAAACATTGAAGTCTATGGGGGAGAGAATAGTCTAAAAGTATTATATTTTAGGGCATTATTTTTATCGTAGGAGTATGCAATGAGAGTTGCAGAGTGGATTATATTTGGGGGTAGGGGGTGGGGTTTGGGGAGGTGCAGGGGGGATTGTGTACCAATGAGGGAGTTTTTCTTTTGCTTTTCAAGGAGAGGAGCAAATGGGGGGGAGGGGTTGGTGCGGGGAGAAGGGTGCAACAATGAATGAATAGAATTCCAAAATCTCTGTAGATGTTCATTGAAATGAAAAATAAACAAACTAAATTAATAAAAAAAAAGTTAGTGTGTGGGGGTCAAGATAGGAAAGAAATTAAAGTGCTATGAAGTGAGAAAAAAAAAACCAGTACTTCATGACATGGTAAAACTGTATGAACTTCAATTTTCAATGTCCATAGGGAATGGCCAGAAATTGGAGCTGAATTCAGAAAAGGATTCTGATAGTTGTCAGATGGGATTTTGTCTGAAAGCAAAGAATACAAGAAAGATGTTTACTTGTGTTTTATTGACTAGTACACTTCACTGTATAAGTTGCAGGTTCACAGAGCACTCGACTGTGTTCATGTGGCACTGGTGCAGACAGAGCAGCAGGCATTGAAACAGAGCAAGGTGATACTACATAATTTTAAGTCGAGAAAGGTGTGCATCATCACTGCATTCTTTCACTATACCTTTCAATCCATATACTGAAAAAATAACCTGAAAGCTGGACTATTTAAGAATGTGGCGAGATGATCTGGAGGAAGATTCAACAACAAACTGGGATACGCAGGTGACACAACCTTGCTTACAGAAAGTGAAATGGACTGAAGGCTCTTACAGCACAAGCTCAAAGACTACAGCTTTCAGTATGGATTACTCTTCAACAAAGGGGGAAAAAAACGCCAACACAACCAAATCCATACAACTATATCAACAGAAAACATCACGAGTAACTCGAGTTTCTGCAAAGACTGTAATCTACCAAGATTGTAGCCTGGGAAATCCTGTGGGGCTTCTACTCTGTCCTACAGAGTCACAAAGATTCAGAATCAATTAGATCGTAACAGACTAAGGGAGTTCGCAGGTACAGTGTGCTCAAAGGCCCTGGGATAGGTGTGGGCTCAGCCCAATTCAGTAACAAAAGGGCCCATGTTGTTGGAAGAGTTCATCAAAGAGCAGTAAACAAGATCTTGCAAGGATATAGTTTACATTTTAAAAGAATACATCTGGCTACTTTGTTGAAAATAAGTCTTAGGAGGGCAAAGACAGATGGCAGAGTACCATCTAAGTAATCCAGGCAACAGATGATTCAAACCCACCCAGCTGCTCAATAGGAA